CTGTGTTCCAGCCCCAGGTCTTCTGCTTACAGTTGTATGACCTTGGGTGGGCTCCCAAAGACCTCAAGGGCCCCAGTCTCCTTATCTGTCAGATGGGAGCAGTAGAACCCAAGCCTCTGGATCATCAGGAGGGTGGGGTGAGAAATGCAGCCATGGGCATGTGGTGAGTCTCACCCCAGCTAAGTCCCCACTGGCCTCCCTGGTAGGAGCCTGTACTTGTCATTGGAAAGCCCCAGGTGGCAGTGGGTGGGTCTCCGTTGGAAAACTTTAAAAAAAATGTATTTTATTGAAGTACAGTTGGTTTACAGTGTTGTGTTTATTTCTGTTGTACAGCAAAGTGACTCAGTTATGTGTGTGTATATATATATATACACATTTTTTTTCGCGTTCTCTTCCATTCTTGTTTATCACAGGATATTGAGTACAGTTCCCTGCGCTCTACAGTAGGACCTTGTTGCTTATGCGTCCTGTACATAGGAGTTCGCTTCTGCTAACCCCAGCCTCCTGCTCCGTCCCTCCCCCACACCGATCCCCCTTGGCGACCACAGTCTGCTGTCTATGTCTGTGAGTCAGTTTCTTTTAAATTATAGATGGAAAGGGGGCTGAAGTGCTTTGTTCCTAAGTTCTGATCGAGCTGTTTGGGCAGCTGTTTGTCCAGACCAGGGGGCTGGCGGGGCCTGGCGAAGTCGCCTTGGCCGATGACCTTGTGCTGAGACACAGCACCAATTGCCTCCGCCCAGGTTCCAGTCGTAATTCCAGTCTTGGCCACCCAATTTGCTCTCTGTCCCCTCCTCGCCTCCTTCCATACAGCCACCAGCGGGATGTTTAGAACCTAGTTCTCATTTATTGTCTGATGCTTGTATTAATACTAGTCTGCTAGGGCTGCCAGGACCAAGCACCCCAGACCAAGCGGTTCAAACACCAGAAATTCATTCTTTCCCTCTCATGGAGGCTGGAAGTCCAAGATCAAGGTGCCGGCAGGGCTGGTTTCTTTTAGGCATTGCTCCTTGGTGTGTAGATGGCGGTCCCCTCCCTGTATCTCACATGCTGATCCCTCTGTGCGTGTCTGTGTCCTAATCCCTCCGTCTTACAAGGATACCAGCCATACTGGAGCAGGGCCCACTCGTATGATCTCATTTTAACTTAATCGCCTCTTCTAAGACCCTGTATCCAAACCCAGCCGTGGTCTGAGGAGCTGGGGTTGGGACTCCGATGAAGGAATTTGCAGAAGGCATAACTCAGTCCAGGATTCTGTGTTTCCCTCTGTGTGCCAGCCCTGTGCCGTGGTCTGGAATAAAGTTATGGGACACCAGGCCTGTTACTGCTACAGTTCTGCTTGAATTTTCTGTGTTCTCCCTGGCCCAGACTTAGAAGCCATCATGATCCAAGCATTGCCCCCTCCCCAGCATGGACCCCCAGCCCCCCAGCCTGTCCCTCCCCACCCCTGCCCCAAGCTGCAGGCAGGCCAGACTACTTTCAGACCCAGCAGTGTCGCCCGACATGGTGTTATGAATGGCCCGACCCAAGACAAGTCGACATGTCTGTGCCAGCGACCATCTCGAGGTGGAGAAGCCACTTGGAGAAATGCCTCTTTTCATTTGTGTTTCTCCCCAGGGGAAGGTTTGACTAAACCCCGTGGTTCTCCCAACTTTGAAGCTCCACCCGAGGCTTCATCAGTTCTCTCCTGAACCTTGGAGGGAAGGCCCCATCTGTGGGTCCTGGACCGTGCGAGAACATTCAGAGTGAAGGTGGCTCACCAAGTCTTCTGGAATAAGGTCACCTTTGTTCAGGAGAACATGCCAGGAGGATGCACTTGGAACCAGCAGTGGTTTCACTGTCCTTTCATGCTTTGGCATTTTTCTTTGTTCTATTCATTAATATTTTTTAAAAATTTGAAGTAGACAAGTCCAAAGGATAGAGGACACTCACCAGTGAGGTCCGGCCCCCAAGGATGCCCTGCCCTGGTTACCTGAGCACAATTCCTGCTAACTCATCTGGTCCACCTTGCATGAACAGAGCTTACACTTTGCCACATGTGCTTGAGATTTTTAAACAGAAACAATATATTAAAGATGAGTCCCCTCATATTCTCATTCCCAGTTCAGTTTCCTTCCTAGAGTCAACCACCACCACGAACTGGTTTCACTATACAAACACGTGCATGCACACCATATGATATATGTACAAACACATATAATACATGTCTGTGTTATATACACATACATATATATGCATGTCCACCTATAATATCCATAAACTTCTCCAAAATATGGTTTATATGCCTTAAAATGTACATAAATACTACCATTAGCATAACATTCTACAACTTTCTTAGCCCAACATTGGATTAGAGCTTTGTTGCTGCCGACAATCCCAGAACTCCAGGTCTTCCATTTTACCTGCTTTATAATATTCCGGCCACACTGACCCACAGTTCTTTTACCCCTCCCCCTACTGAGAGTTATTTGAATTGTGCCCACTAGTGATTTAAAACAAACCCAGCTTTTGGTCCAGTTGAGTCATGTAAACAATTCCTGTTTCATGCCTTTGGGGGTGCCCTGCCCCTCCTGATGCTGAAGCGAAGAGTAAAGCAAATTTGATGTTGCTGTGACGACCAAGTGGTCGTTTTGTGATGTCAGTCTTGCTCCTGCTTTGTCCCAAGTCTTAACGCGCCGTCGGTACTTTTTGGCATCCTTTTCAGCCTGGCCTCTGCAGCTGGGAAATGATCATATATGGTGGTGTGACTCAGCAGGGAGGCGGCAGGGACCCTGGGAGCGTCTGCGTTACTGGCTTGATTCCCACGGGGCGAGTGAGCACACAGAAGCCCTCCCGCGGTCCCTGCGGCTCTGCCCCAGAGGGAACTCCTTGGCCGAGAGGCCGAGAGGCCACAGAGCTGGGCCTCCGCCTGCGTGTCGGCTGCTTTTATCTGAAGCGTAAGCCCAGTCAGGACCCTGGAGAGTTTCCAGGGAACGGAGATGGGAACTGCCGCGTTCCCATAGCTTCAGGCTCCTCTTTCTGCCTCTCGGGTGCCCAGGACAAGCCCCAGAGGACCCCCTCCTTCCACTGCCATCTTGCAGCCCCACGCCAATGCAACCAGTGAAACCCTGGCTATTGTTCACGTGGGAGATGACAGAGGGGCCTCCTGGGGTTCTGGGTGGGTAGCCTCCAGGCTGCCTCCCTCCCTGCCCACCCAGGGGTCTCTGGAGCCCTCCTCCAGCTCTCCGTGCTGTCTTCAGCCAGGCCCATCCCACTGGTCAGGGGCTCCCATCTCCCCAGCCTAACTGAGAGCCACTTGAGGCCAGGGACAGTGCCTTGTTGTCCTCCTCTCCCACTGTGCAGCACAAAATAGGTGCCTATAAAGGTCGCTGGGTGACTGATCGACTTTCCTTGGGGGTGAAACAGAGGCAAGAGGGTGCACAACAAGCCCTGTCTTGTCTTCTTGGACCAGACAACAAGCCATCAGGAGGACCACACTTTGTGACCTGTAGTGTGACCCCTGGCACCCCAGGGTGAGAGGAACCGAGGCAGTGTGCTGGAAAACCCCAGGCCCTCAGGGACATCACCCCTGGGCTTGAGTCTTACCAGTCAGCAGCCTGGGGATCGACTCTCTAAGCCTCGGCCTCCCCATCTGTAAAGTGGTTGTAAGGGCAGGCCGACCTCCTGGGCTTTCGTGAGGGCTGGAGATGACACGGATGAGGCGACCGGCCCCCGCAGAGGCTCAGGAAGGGCTCTGAGAAAGAGCGCAGGCCTAGCGGAAACTCAAACCTAATAAATTATCTTCAGGCCGGGGGATTTTAGAATTAGTAAATGTGTTCCAAGACTAAGACAGCTTTTCCTAAGATGCCTGCCAAGGAAGAAAGGTTAGTGAGAGGCGGTGTTTGGGAAAAGGGCCTGGAGCCCAAAAGCAAGGACAGATTATGAAGATCTTTGACGGGTCATAAAATAACGGTGTCGGCACCGTGGATCTCAGAGGGGGTGAATCCCAACTGATGTGACCACGAGGCATGCACCATGGCTCCTGGCCTGGCATGTGTCAAGAGCTAGGGTTCCAGAAACACTCCTTAGGAAGCACAGCCCCAAGAGGGGCTAGAAGTTCCGGGAGTCCCAACTGCCATCTTTCATCCCCTCCTTGGCCCTGCTGATGTGGCTGTTGGGTGCTAATCACCCATGCGAACCGCTCACTCAGCAGCCAGGAGGGTCACATCTGGCAGTACCCGTAATGGGCCCGCTGTCAGACAGAAGCTGGCTGAGGGAGGCTGCATGCTTGGCTGTTTGGGGGGTTGCCAGGCAGGGACAGGGTGAGAGTGGGGTACCCTGTACCCCTGGGAGGCCCTGTCTCTTTCCACTGTCATTTTCTCTGAGGATCAAGTTATCAGAGCATGTGGCTAGGCCCTGGGAGGCTGTGTCGTAGGGTGTGATGGCTACCCACCCCGTGGAAGGACTGTGCAGGGGATGAGTCTGGGGGCGCCTGACAGCCTGTTTGGGAACTGAGTCTTACTTCACAGGGACTAGGAAGTTCGCTACTCCCGTTGGTTCATGGCACATCCTTTGCTGACGTGAAATGGCTTTAGCAGTCTCTTTTGGGGGCAGGAGATGGAGTTTAATTCAGGCCATAGACTCACCGGAGCCCTGAATGAGTCCAGATGCTGACTCAGAGTGAGAGAAAAGGAGGCGCCACGAGAAGCTGAGTCTGGGAGAGACCGAGCCAGGATGTCCATGTGGCATCGGGCCGCTTGCCGTGCTGGAGGCCGTTGGCTTGAATCCCAGCTCCACCACTTCCTGCCTGCCGGACCTTGCTGGTGTTGCTTCTGTGAGCCTCAGTCTTCACATCTGCACAATGGGGAGAGAGGGGTGCCCTGTCCACTCTCTGCCGTGGCAGGTTTGGCACTGACCGACTTCTCCAGCCACCCTCTGCTTCCTTTCAGAGCACGAGAACGCCCAGCTCTGCCTCAGGCGCCCAGGCCGCCCGTCACCGCCTGCCTTGCTGCCAGCGTGGAGCCATGAGCTGTGTCCTGACTGGTGTCGTGCCCTTAGGGCTGGTGCTTCTGCTCTGCGGAGCCCAAGGCTTTTTCCTGCCCAACGTCACACACTTAGAGAAGCTGCTCAGCAAATACCAGCGGGACCAGCCCCACTCCCGGGCGCGGAGGGCCATCCCCAGGGCGGACCAGGAGGAGATCCTCATGCTCCACAACAAGCTGCGGGGCCAGGTGTCGCCGCCCGCCTCCAACATGGAGTACATGGTGAGCGCCGGGCCTGGGGCTGGCCTGGCATGGGGGCTCAGGGCGGGGGGCGGGGTCCAGGACCCAGGGGCTACTGGCCAGAGAGGCTCCCCTGGCTGCGTTCTGGGTGCGTGGCTGCACCTCTCTGAGCTCAGCCCCCGCTCCCCACCCTCGGCTCTCCCCACAGGCCCTCCTGGAGCGGGGGGCGGTGAGGGTCAAGGGCTAGGCTCTGGTGAGTCCGACCCCAGCTCTGCTTCCTCCTTACCGAGTGACCTCAGCATCTCCTTCGCTGGGCTGACTCAGTGTTCCCTTGACAGTTGGCTGGCACGCCTGTCGCACGCCCAGCCAGACACTCAGCCCTGGGGCTGTGCTGGTACCGAGGTCTTCGTGTAGCTTGGTCTCCAGCCCACTCTTCAGGTGCTCCCTCCGTCAGCGAGGGGCGGCTGAGTCTGAGCAGTGGGGCGTTCTGCCAGGAGGAGGAGGCTGAGAAGGGATGGTGGAGGGTCCCCTGTACCTCGAGAGAAGCCCCCGCACTTAGGAACAGAAGGGATGACCAGCTCCGGGTGCCCATCCCCAGCCTCACCCTCACTCCCGTGTCTCCATGTCCGGTTTTCTCGGCCCCATGAAGTGGGCACCGTGGTTCCCCCCAACTTTACAGACTGGCCCGGGATCACAGATGGCAGAGGCAGAGGTGGATTCTGACCTGAGTCTGGCTGAGTCCAGGACCCATGCTCTCGTTCACCTGTCCATGCTGTCTGAACTCCACCCCCACTCTGCTGCCCCGCTACGTACCCGGGACTCTTTCTCCAGCTGTTTCCATCCTCCCTGCCCATGTTGTTCACACCTTGATTAGCGGGGCAGCCTCAGCCCTGGAGGGGGACTCACCTCCCATCTTGCCCTCTGAATCCTGGCGTCACGTTGTAATCCCTAAATCTTCACTCTTCCAGCCTTTCTCCTGGCCGGAGCCTCGAGGGCCCTCCGTGCTTCTTGCCTGGCACCCACGCCTCCTGTCAGGAGCCCTGGTCTGTCTGCTTAGCTTGTTTCGCTTCCTCCTCTGTGGCCAGAGGAGCCTCAGGGTGCCGTGTGCACAGCCCCGCTCTGCGCCCCGCACGTCTGCGCCCCGTCACTCCCGTACCCACCTCCGTGCAGCCCGGGCCCTGGCCCTCTCCTTCCTCCTTCCTCTGGGCTCAGCTGCCACTCCCTGTGCTGTTCGCACTCTGACCTCGGTCACCCTCACGGTCGGGCACCTGCCCGTGTGGCTGTGGGCCCCTCGGCATTGCTGTGCCGGATGAGGTGGCCCGTCACCGGCTGAGGGACGAGTGGATGCCTGCCTGGGTGGAGCCTGAGCAAGGCTGTCCCCTGGGGACTCCTTATGAAACCATTTCTTTTTTTCCCCTCAAGAACATGGTCCAGGGGTTTGTTCTGAAGGGGCTGTGCTAATTTTAGGAGGCAGAGTGGGCACCCTTTCAAAATGTTAATGCGCAGGGCAGCCATGCAGAGCTTTTTAGGGTTAAAGCTGGAGAGAATTAGGGTAGGTTTCTTTTTAGGCTCCCTCCGCCCCTGCCAGCATCCTCGCCCACCAACGTCCATCGGCCCAACAACAGGCGGCGCCGACTGGAGAGGGTGTCTCAGATCCATGTCCTGGAGCTTTGAGCCACAGCCCTCTGAAACAGGCTCATCCCAAGAGGTGGACTGTAAAACCCCACAGTTAAGACACCCTGTTTTGAGGTTTTATGAGTGGACAGGCTCTGGAGCCAGCCTGTCTGGGTTTAGGACTTGCCCCTGGATGTTGAGGGGTGCCGTTATCTTGGCCAGAAGGAGACACAGGACCGGAGATGGGGGGAAGGGGTGGCTTCGTGCTGGGGTCCGGCGGTTGGTGAACCCGTCTCCTGGAACGTCCCAGGGCCCTCCCAGTATAGGCTGTCAGCAAGCACCTATTGTGTGCCAGGCTGGGCCTCCACAGGGCAAGGGGACAGCCCCTGCTTGCCCGGGAGATTTGGATGGGGCGGGGCAGCCGCTGGCTCACAGCCTGAGGGCCACTGGGCGTCAGTTTCTTGAGAGAGAAAAGTAGTCCTGCTCACCTGGCTCACCGTGTTCTCTTCCGGGGAGTCATGTGTGCACCCTGGGCTGGTTGGGAGGGGAGCAGGTGACGGATTCTTTGTCCCAGACTCTGACTCAGGGTGGGCTTTGCCGGAGGGGAGCAGGACTGGGTAAGTTGAAGGCATTTCTTGCTACTTAGAAAAAAAAATCTATATATATATGTGTGTGTGTGTGTGTGTGTATGGTTATATATAGGCTTCCCAGGTGGCACTGGTGGTAAAGAACCTGCCTGCCAATGCAGAAAATATAAGAGACATGAGTTTGATCCCTGGGTCAGGAAGATCTCCTGGAGTAGGACATGACAACCCACTCCATTATTCTTGCCTGGATAATCCCCATGGACAGAGGAGCCTGGCGGGCTACAGTCCATAGGGTCACAAAGAGTTGGCCATGACTGAAGTGATTTAGCATGTGTGTGTATAAAGAAATATATATGTATATACATAAAATGGTAAAATATACATAATATAAAACTTACCATTTCATCCATTTTAAAATGCACTGTTCATTGGCATTAGGTACCTTCACACCATTGTACAGCCATGACCACCATCCATCTCCAAGTTATTCATCCTCCCGTTTCACAGATGAGGAGACTGAGGCTGAGAGGAGGGACTTGCCAGGGTCCCTGACAAGTTAGGGGATGAGCAGGAGCTCTGAACATCCAGGCTCCTCTAGGTTCTTTGCTGACCAGAGACCATCGAAGTGCTCTCAGAGTCCTTGAGTCCAGTGTTGCAGAAGCTGAACCTGGCACTTAGGGTCGTCCGGGGGCCCGAGCTGGGGGCATCAGTGCAGTTGAGTTCTTCCACCCACCCCTGAACCTACCTCCTGGTGCCCGTTTCTCGTCCCCTGCAGACCTGGGATGAAGAGCTGGAGAAGTCGGCGGCGGCCTGGGCCCAGGAGTGCATCTGGGAGCACGGGCCCACTGGCCTGCTGGTGTCCATTGGGCAGAACCTGGCCGTGCACTGGGGCAGGTGAGAGATGTCATGGCCCCCTACTTGTGACCTGGGGTCTCACTCACACTGCAGGACCTCTGAGCACCTGTTAAATGTCACCCACCGACCTTCACCTCGGTCAACTGGGCGGGTTTCCTTAGAGGAAGTGGGGAAGATGTCTTCTGACAGATTAAGACTCACTGCCCATGTGCTAGGCACACGAGTTCTCCGAGTAGGGGCCCAGGAGTCGCTAGGGTTCCAGGGTCTGCTTCCATTTTGCCCCTTTCATTGAAAAATTGATGTGGATTGGACAGAGCCCCTGAAAACACAGGGCAGGGTCTGCTGGCCTTCAGACCCACCATATCCAGTTCCCGAGCTCGGATCTTAATGGGACCCCAAGCCCCTGCACGCTCCTTTAGCCAGGATTGTTCTGGGCAGGACCTGGGCAAGGGGTCATCACGGGGCTAGAGGCTTGGCTTTGTGGAGGCATAGCAACCCGGTGTTGTTTTCTGCTTTTTATCCAGTCAGTCTTATGACAGCATCACCAGAAAATGTCTGTGAGGAACCCAACCCATGGACCCGCTGACCTGGTCAGCTCTTTCTGTGTTTCTGGGCTCCTGGGCTGCATCTGGCCGACATATTTTCCCATAGTTGTAACTGTGGCCAGGACAGCTATTGATTTTTTTTTCCTTCTCATACAACATCAAACAGTTTTCTAGTACATACTTGTCATGGTTATCACATCTGAAAGGCTGCCTGTGAGCCATCAGGTTGACAGACCAGAATTTAGCCATTCTATTCTCGTAGCTGGGTTTTGTTTTCTTCTTTTTCCCTCTTGGCTCATTTGAATGATTTCATTAGGAAAACTCTGAGGAGTAGGATTGATAGGTCCATAGCACAAAGGCTGTCCCCTTTCTGGATCAATATTGCTGACTCACTTTCCAGAGGAGCCCCTCATCTGAAAGCCCCTCAGCAGCTGAATGTTTTCTTTCTAAAACTGGTCCAGCCTGGCAGCAAGTCTTGTGGGATATGGACAGACAGGGTGGTGGGTACCCTGAGGCCCCGGAGCTCTGTCGCTGTCTGTGTGTCCTCTGAGCTGGCCCCAAGCAGAGAGGTGCTTTCCCTGGCCAGGGCACTGACCACCACCATTGCTGGAGTCCTGACGGTAATTATTACAAGACCACTGACTGCCCTGCTCCCCATGGTGCCCTCAGAAGTGCCCAGTCCCCCCCACATCTGTTCTGCTTGTTGAAACCATTTTGTCTACACTTGCTGGTGACAGCAACCGGGGCTTGCATCTGGTTTATTTTCTTTCCCGATGCCAGCCTGGCAGATGGGGCTGAAGAGAGGGCCAGTCACAACAAGAGGTGGGGAGGGTCTTCTAAGTGCTGGGGGCGAGGGAGGGCTCAGGTGATAGGATCCCAAATGGGAGCTTGGGGCAAGGTTTGCCCCTCTTCGGTTTTTTCTTATGCAGTAATATCTGTGAAATACGGGATTCAGGGGCTGCATATATTTCCCCAAATGTAAATGAAAAAAATACGTAATTATTAGTATAAAAAAGGATTCACTGGGGCCAGATACAGGTTTCTCATACACACAGGTGGTGTGTGGGTCACCCAGGCATACTCATGGACTCTGAAGGAGGCCAGTTCAGGTTTTTAGCACTTCTAACAGGTGCAGGTGGGATGTGGTGCTGTTGGCCTGAAGGCGCGTCCCGCCTCCAACTCCACCTTGGGTGGTGGTGCTGCCAGAGGGGTCTCTGTTGTGTGCATGTGGTGGCCGGAACTTAACAAGCCCATCTGTCCCTGCAGGTATCGCTCCCCTGGCTTCCACGTGCAGTCCTGGTACGATGAGGTGAAGGACTACACCTACCCCTACCCCCACGAGTGCAACCCTTGGTGTCCAGAGAGGTGCTCCGGGCCCATGTGCACCCACTACACGCAGGTAAGGCTGGAAGATCGGGCGTGGCCTCAGCCTGGCACCCCCAGAACTGTGGTGCTCTCCCCCAATCAGAGAACCTCTCTTCTATCATTGCCTTAATTTTCTTCCTTTAATTCAGTCCTATTCAAAGTATAACTGGTGGGTTGAGCTATTTGTGACTGGTTCACAAATATGGAAATTGAGAATAAGCACTAGAAATGTCGATAGCAGTTTTACATTGCTGGGGCATTTTCCTTATTTGTCTTGTTTTGTTCACTTTTCCATATTTGATTTAAACAAATGTCTGGCTCTTTCATGGGCCAGAGGAAGAATTTGGGCCTTCACCCCTTTACCACACGCCCGTTTACTGTGGGCACCTTGTGGATTCAGGCCAGATTATGTCACCCTGGTCATTTTCCCCTTGAACTTTGATGTATGGATGTCATCTTTTCAGATAGTTTGGGCCACAACCAACAAGATCGGCTGTGCCGTGAACACCTGCCAGAGGATCAATGTCTGGGGAGATGTTTGGGAGAATGCAGTCTACCTCGTTTGCAATTATTCTCCAAAGTAAGAACAAGTGACATGGTTTTATGGATCGGGGTGTGTTTGCTTGCCATGGAAGACCCAACTAGAACTGGCTTAAGTGGTAAAATCTCTTCATTACTTCACATAAGAAGGCATTCAGAGATTAGTGCGTCTAGGTTAGCTTAGTAGCTCAGCAGTGTCAATGAGAACTCTCTGTCTTCTTGCAGTACTGTCCTCTCCTCATGGTCATGAGAAGGCTGCAAAACATCAGGCACCAAGTCTTCCCAAACAGAAGGGAAAAGAGTTCTCTCCTTCTGCTTTTCTCTCCCCTGGCCCACTTTCTCCTTACGTCATTGGCCAGAACCAGACTACTCATGGACGGGGGGAACAAGACTGCCCCAGTTGACTTTGACCAATGAACTTGTCCCAGTTGGCTTGGCAAATTGTCCTCTGGGACTGCTTGAATAGATCAGAAGCAGGAATAGCTGCTGGCTGGGCAACTAGTGGAGTCCACCATAAAGATTCTTTTTCTCTGAAAATATGTAGCAAAGAGCACTCTAGTAAATAGGTGTTTTGCATCGTTATGTTTCCCCTCCCAGAAGGGACCTCATCAAACCTTTGGGTCACAGCCCCTCTTCATCTTTACAGCATCCTGATGTCATCAGTATGTCACTTACCTCTTTACCCGCTCACCTCTTTTGCTCACGAGACAACTATGTGCTGATTCTCGGAGAACAGCTCACCCAGTTTACAGCCTGTGGTTTGCGCACTGGCCACGGGGCTGGCCGCCATCCTAGCACTGGGCCCTGCATGCAGTGGCCCTTGCATATTTTCTCAGTGACTGCATGAAGCAGGAATGACCTCACTTACTGGGTTGGGTCAGGAGTGGCTGTGCGAAGGTGGGATGAAGAGAGAATCGCTGAGGTTGGGAGGAAAATAGAAACTCTCTGTAAACCATCCGGCACGCTAGTGGTAGCAATGCCTCCGCAGCCACAGGGATGAGGTTAGGGGTTGTGTCATCGATGGGAGGGACCAAGCCCCACCGAAGAGCAGTAAGCTAGTCAGAACTACTGGAAGAGTGGCAGGTGTGGAGTGAGGAATAATTCAATTTGACTGTGTATTAAAAAAAAAAAAAAACACTAGAAGATCCTACTAGAAATACCACTTCCCCCTTATTTACCTCCTATCCCTTTCTTAAAAAAATTAATATTGTACGTATAGGAAAACACACTAACCCTGGGAGCACAGCTAGTAAATACTCACATGTACAAGTATGTGTTAGTCAGCACACACCGCTGTAACAAAGCGGCCTCAGCAGCAGAGCCCTCTCTCGCAGCCCTGGAGGCCAGCGGTCCAGATCAGGGCCCAGCAGGGCTGGTTTCTGGGGAGGATTCTCTTCCCAGCTCATAGATGGCCACCTTCTCCCCGTGTCTCCACATGATGTTTCCTCGCTGTGTGCAGGGGGTGGAGGAGAGAGATGGAGAGGAAGTTGAGCTCTCTCTGTCTCTTCCTATAAGAACACTAATCCTATTGGATCAGGGTCCCCACCCTCCCAGGGGTCACCTCCTCTGAGGCCCCATCTCCAAATGCAGCTACCCTGGGGGTTTTGGCTATGGGGGGGTGTGCACATACGTTCAGCCCATGCACCGTGTATATAACATAGCGCCCAGGCTGGAAGACAGGTTCCCAGGAGCCTGGCAGCCAGCCCCCGTCCACAGCCACCACCTCTGAGAGTTACTGTGCCAGTCCTGTGGAAGGCAGGGTTTGTCACTGAGGGAACGTGGAGCCTACACATGCTGGCAGACTCATCTGGGGAAGGGGAAGAGCCCATCTAAGGACCCAAATGATCTGAAGAACCTACTGAGCCCCACCCAGGGTCCCCCTGGTGATGGTCCATTTGTGGGGTCATCCCAAAGCCCTCCGTGAGTCCTGGCCAGCCTGCATGTGAGGCAGATGCTGAACAAAGCAGTGTCTGCAGCCTGCTGGGGGGTGTCATTTTGCCCTCTCTGGGTGCAGACTGTGACAGCCCCTGCCCACCACCCCTGGCCTGACACCCACGTGGCCCTGGGTGGTTCCATTCCACTATTTTGGGCTGACCAGGAGCAAACAGTGTGTTTTCTGCAGTTTGTCCCTTGGCCAGCACTAACGGGACCCCTCCCTCCCTGGCCACCCTGGACAGCCATCAGACTGTCACCCCATGAGGTTGCTGATTTAGCAAGCGCTCAGAGAGTGTGTTGCCATCACCAGAGGCCAGTCCTGATGTGAGCCGTCCACACAGCCACCTCCTTCATCTCACGACCAGTCCCCGAGGTTACCCTGTACAGAGACGAGGGCAGAGGTTCTGGTTGGAAGGGCCGGGTCCAGCCCCAGAGCCTGCTCCTCATGGCTCGGCCGTCCTTGGCCCGAGAGTGGGGCCCTGCATCTATTTCCTGAGAGGACAGCTAGTTGACTGGGGCAACCATGAAGGAAGTTCCTAGAACAGATCATAGAAACCGGCCCCCAGTCACTCACTGCTCCAGCCTGTGCTGCCAAAGGCACCACCAGAAGGGCCTGGGAGTCCTGCTCACCACCTGCTACCCAGGCCCTGGAGAAATCCCCCCGAGCGGCCTCTGGTTTTCCTGCCCCGGAAGCTTAGAGGGAGGCGGATCGGTGCCTGTGATGCCCAGAGGGTCTCAGCCCCATGAGCAGAGTATGGTCAAAGCTTTGAACCCTACAGGCTGAGGTCAAGTCCCAGCCCTCACACTCACTTGCTGTGTGACGTTGGGCAAGTCACTTAACATTTCTGAGCCTGTTTCCTCGCCTGATAAAGGATTGAACTCTAGCATGTCCCTCCTAGGGTGTTGGAAGGATAGAATGAGTGGGTGGGTGTGCAGTGAGAAGCCAGTAACCTCGAGGCCCTCCCTGGGGTAGGCTGCCCATCACTTATTTGAGAAATGGCTTAAAAGGGAGGGTCCCAGCAGCTTCCCTGCATTGGTGTTGGGGCTGGGGGAGGGGGCGGTGCCGCTGGCGTTCAGAGTTGTGCGAGGGAGCAGTGTGGGTAGGTGGGGGCCACAGGACAAAGGATGACAAGGAGAAGGATGCTTCATGGTTCCTGGCTAGATTATTCTGTACTTCTCTAGACGCTGTGCACAGAGGGGCTCAGGGTAAGTGCCTGTCCCGCTCATACCTTCCGTCCTCCCTGACTGTGTCGGGGCCCCAAGAGGGTTTAGAACAGAGAGAGGGGCCCCCGGGCCCTGGCATGGCAGCCCCGTGATGGTGTTTCTGGTCTGTCCTCAGGGGCAACTGGATCGGAGAAGCCCCCTACAGAACCGGCCGGCCTTGCTCCGAGTGCCCCCCCAAGTACGGCGGCGGCTGCAAGAACAACCTCTGTTACCGAGGTAGGAATCCACTTCAGAGCCCTTGGGAGAGGGCTTCCACTCCTGTCCCTGAGTCACAGAGCTGCCAGCATGAAACGGGGACGTTGGACAGCTGGGGGAGAAATTGGTCCCTTCCACCCTTGCCCTCTGCTCCCCTCCTTCATCTCCAGACTCCGGCCCACGCTCCGCTCCTCCCCTCTCTATCTCCACACTCAGAGTTCAGCCCCAGCTCCCCAGGGACCCAGCTGCCCCTGGGACATCACCCAGTGGGCATCTCCCATGGGCGGCACTGACCAGAGGCATCCTGCCCTCTTGGTGCTCAGACTTTGGTACAAGACAGATGACAAACGAGAAATTTAAAGCAGCTGCGTGATGGATGGTCCAGGCCAGCTATGGGCCAGGTGGGCTGTCGGAGCCCCTCCTGCTCGTCCTTGTCCTCATCAGCGCCCCCCCCCACCCACTTGTGTGGCTCACCCAGCCCTTACTCGTCATAAACATCTACGTTCCCCTCCCCGCTCAACTCAGGCCCAGCCAGAGCTTTCAGGCCATGTATTTTCCAGTGACACCAGCATTTGTTTATTGCTGGCCACTCAGGTGTTTCCATTTACCCCGCTCCTGTAAATAATGCACACTTTTCATGCCTGAAGTGCTCACATTTTGGACTATTTCCTCCAACTCCGTCCCGGCTGAGGTGCTGAACGTGTGTCTGCGGTTGAGGTATGTTTTTTCACGTGGCTGCGTCAACAGGTCCTGTGACGGCTGAGAGGGGCCTTTCAGGAGGGTTGGCATGGGCAGGAGGCAGCGGCCCTTCCCTGCCGGGGGCTCGTGGGGTCAGCCCAGTGGGCTCCAGGGTGAAGAGTGGAGTTCCAGCCCTCTCGGGCTGGTTATTCCCTGCTGATTCTGCCCACTGCAGTGGGGCGGGGTGGGGGTGTCCTCTGGGGGGAGAAGCAAAGGTCTGATGGTTTGGTCAGTGTGGCCTGGTCCATGTGGTCCCCTGGGTTGTGACTTATGTGCAGGTAGCTGAGTCTCTGGGGGAAGCGGGGCTCAACCCAGAGTCTAGACATGAGACTTCTGGCTCTGGATCTTGGTGATCTGAGGCTCTTTGCTCAAACCCCTCAGTCTTTCTGCCTAGCAGCAAAATGGGCCTGGTGACTCCGTCCGTGACACATCTCAGGCTCAGATGAGAGAGTCAGTGCATTTGGTGTGAACATCCTGAGTGCCTGCTGTGTGCCAGGATGTTGCTAGGTGATGAGGTGGGGTGACTATGGGGACCAGTCCTGGCCCTGCCCTGGGGAACCTGGTGTCCAGCGGGGCCATCGCCCCTCTCAGGGCATGATACAGGTGCCCCGGGGCTGTAGCAGGAGCCTCCACCATGAGCCGGGCCAGGGAGGGCCTCCCGAGCAGGCAGCTGTTGAAGAAGACAGCCTGGTAATGAGAGAAGGGAAGGGCATGTCCGGCAGGGAACCGCACGTGTCATGGCACGGTGCGCAGGTCCTGGCAGTGCCCGCCACGCGGTAGGGCACCACGAGCATTGGTTAGGTGGAGTTTCTGCTCCCCCTCTTCACTGTCTTCGAGACAGGGTCCCCACGCCCATCCTTAGTGAAATATTCCCACACAGTCCCACTCCGATACCTGGATTCCTGGGACAAGCTGGGTTTTAGAGTCTAGTACACCTGCTTGAGGACTATCAACCCTGCAGGTTCCAGCAGGGGGACCCTGGCGGGTCACTTCATCAATCTGAGCCTCAGTCTTCCTGTGTGAAAATGGGGTGACATGTCGGCTCCCGGGGGTAATGGGAGGGCTGAGAAGGCAGGCCGACACTCAAGGCATGTCAGGCTCCAAGTCCCCTTTCAGGCAGGTCCTGTGGCTGCTATCTGGTCGCCCAGAGGGACAAGTCCCCTCTCAGATCCTGAGGGCTGGTTTGGGGACCATGAGGGAGGGCAGACCTCTGGGGGTGCCCCCTCAGGTCTCCTGCTGGGGGGCTCCATGTGTGCGCGAGGCAGGCCATTGGCATGCAGGGTGGGCAGAGGGGGCATGTCTGCACTCCAGGCCGGGTATGTCAGGCAAACTGCTTGCCTTCTCTGAGCCTCAGTTTCCCCCATCTGTAAGAGTGATGCCATCATCTCCTGTAGATGGTTTGCTGGGAGGATGCGGTGAGGAAGGTATGAGTTACTAGGACAGCAGCCTGCACATAGTCAGCACTTTATAGACCCAGCCCATTACTTTCTTGGAGAAGTAGAGGTGGGGAGGTATGACCTCACTCATCACCTGGCATGGAGTTCTTTACCTTAGGGGTTACTGGGGGCCCTCTAGCAGTCTGGGGACCCTGTCCATCTCAGGATCCTGGCACATGCCTTCTTTTCTCGGAAAACACAACTGTGGTGTCACACCTCCTCTAGGAAGACTTCCCTGATTTCACAGCCAGGCCGCTCACTTGCCTCCACGCCCTTGCTGCACCCAGACTCTCCATGAACTTGAATCACCTGTAGTTACAGCTGCTGGTTCACTCCAGGGCCTCCAGGGCCTCCAGGGGCACCTAGCAGGTGTGTTATGCATGTTGTCTGAATAAATATACCCCCAAAGTCCACAGAGGGTCCTTGTCAGAGAACAAATGTACACAAAGACAGCCTAGATGCTGGTTAACCCCCCCAAAGAAGCCTCCTGGACTTGCTTCTTTATTTTTGGTGGAAAATACCCAACTCCACTTGGCGGGCATCCTGATTTCCTTAGCTAACCATGCAGAAAGTCTCCTCTAAAGCAGCTTATCTGCATAAGCTACTTAATAAGCGTTTATTGAGGTGCCTGGCAAAGCCTTGACCTCTTAATGGAGATGGAGCGGGGATAAGGATATACCGTAAGAGGCGTTCCTACCCCTCCAGCCTGTCCCTGTGTGGCGATGAAGGGTGTGGGATTCAGGGAAAGGAGTCTGACTCTCAGCTGTGTGAGCTTGGGCAGGTCACATGGCCTCTCCAAGGCTCAGTTTTCCCATCTGTGAAATGGGGCTGTTCACGCCTCCCAGGGCAATGACAGGATGACACCAGAACTTGACGTTAGCTATGAGCTTTGTCCGCACTTATAGAACCAGGTGGAGTCTGCAGAATGACGTAGAAATGCTCGGTACCCCGGGACCCCCGGTCCAGAGCTGGACGGAGCACAGGGTAACCTTGGCGTGAACTCGGGCACGGAATTTCCCCAGGCCTGTGCTGGTCCACTCAGGGGATCTTAATTAGGATGTGCTCAAATACAGCCCGTCCTCTGGGTAAGCATTCCACTTTTCATGTGTGTGTCTGAGGGTGAGGACTGTCTGCCCATTTTCTTAAATAGTGAGCCCTCAAATGCTTTAGGCTGCTCTACCCAACTATATTCGGCTAAATAAAGCCGCGATTATGAGGTATAAAAATCCTAAAGGCCAGTGGAAGAAAACCTAGCTTATTCCAGAGACAGCTCTGGCTTTCAGTGAAGAGCAAGCCTGAATAGCCACTTTGATGGGAAGACAGACCAGAGACCGCTGCTGGGTTCCAAGTGCTGTTTGCAAACCCAGCGTCTTCATAAAGATTTTGCCTATAGAGTTTAGCTACAGATAATGTTTTCCGCATTCCCCTTCCTGAATATCTTTAAACTTTGCTGGGACTATTTTTTTCCCCTCCAAAGAGTTCAGAGACAGAATTCATTGTGGGGGGTGGGGGGAGGGTTGACGGTCCTTCATGCAGCCAATGTTGTTGAGCAACTGCTGTGTGCTGGAGCTCGTGGTAGAGTAGGGTGTGAAGCAGGCTGGCTGCTGCCCCGGGGAGTCTTCAGCTGGTGGGGGAGGGAGGTGGGGGAGAGCGTGTCGTCCGGGAGCCGGACATGAAGGCCCACGAGCTCTGGTAATGATCTTGGGACTCAGGGTTGACGCCTCCTCTGGCTTAGATCCCATCCGTCCTCCTCTTGGGTTCCCCTGGAGCGCTGGTTGTACAGTGATGAGTCAGCCAGTGGAATGGCTGCAGTGTATCCTATCAAAAGGCATCCAAGATCTCTTGAAGAGATCTTGAAGTCACCCTTCAATTGAATGGCTTGTGTCAACACAAAACGGTTGGTCTGCCCTTCAGAGAAGAGATGTTGTCACCCTTAAGGAGAAATGGAGATAAGGCTCGGAATTGGTGGATATTTGATGGAACTTGAGTCTTAATCCACTGACACAAGAGGCCTGTGAGGGCCCCATCCATTCCTGCTCCTTGAACTCCTTCTTATCAAAACACATCTGTTGTCTTTTCTCACTGGAGAAGCTTAGAAGGCAGGGGTTTCCAACTCCGGTCCACGACATCCTTGGCGGGTCCCACAACAGATGTGCACCAGTTCATGTTTGATAAGGGTGCGCAAGCAATACTTTGCTTTGCTTTGGCTGGAGTGTAAGGCTTGGTATCCAAGTGGCCTGATTACAGATCATGGTGACTTTCATGATAAGAACTGATGCTTAATAAATGCAATTTGTTTGGTGAATTAGAATGTTTTGAAACATGAAGGTTGCAGTCATGTTTGGAGAAATAACCATATTTGAGTGGGGAAAAGATTGGGAGCCAGTGAACTAAGTTTTTTTAACCAAGAGTTGGATCTTTGGTTCTTTCTAGGTGATGGTTCCAGTGTTACTGGGTTTCAGAACTGCAGTGCAGAGAAAGGTTAAGTGATCTTGACCTTTGGGGGTGGGGAAGGGAGCAGAACGTGCAGGCGGTAAAGGGCAGTGGGTCCAAGACCATCGACATGGGTATTCTTGCACACCGATGGCACATATCTAGGAAGACCCCTCCCTCAGTGAGAATCCAGCGCAGAGGGACCTCGGGGAGACAGCTGTGGTTTGGGGTCAGAGGATGAGGTGGCTTCCTGAAGCTGCTTCCTTGGGTAGGCAGTGGTGAGTAGGCAGAGATGGGACAAGAAATCATTCAGACCATTCAGGGGTGGGTGCCGGGGCCTTCTAACCTCCGGTCAGCCCAGCTGCTCTTGGGTTCCAAAAGCACAGTGAGCAGAGAGCCATCCATTGCTCTTGGTGGGGAGAATCCCGCCTGGCCAGTTGGCCCTGAAGCGGAACTTTCTCTTTGCTGCTGAAATGACCCTTTGTGAAAGCAAACCTCAAACTAGTTTCGTCTCCAGATGGCTTTTTTACTTCTTCCCAAGTGCATTTCATTTGGATCCCAGCATGTTGCTTTTCTCTCCCCCCTTCACTATTAAGAGACTTATGGCCAGAAACCTGAAACGGACGACATGAACGAGGTGGAAGTGGCCCCCATTCCTGATGAGAAGCACATCTGGGTCTCACCAAGGGTGATCAAACCCACGAAGCCCAAGAAAGACTCTCCCGTGAACCACATGAGTGAGTGGGGCTCTGCCATGCTGAGGCCGCCTCTGAAGGGGGCAGTTTTCTTTGGGGTGGATGGAGTAGGGGGCCAGTGGGTTGAGAGGTCTCCAAGTCGACAAACAGTGGGGACCAGAGTGGGGTGTAGCTTGCAAAAGCACAACTCGAAGACGTTTCTAAAAAATGATATTTTAAAGTCATTTCAAAAGAAGCATTATAGGAGGTGTACTTGGGTGGCCTTTTCCCCCCACGCAGTTATTTTAAGGTTAGACCTTCTCTTGTCCTTTCAAAGAGGACCGGGGCCGAGATTGGGTTCCTGTTGGGGTGCCCCCCTCCCAGAAGAAGAAGGAACAGGCAGCGCGGGGCCCGGCTCCCAGGGCCACCATGCGCACGGGTCCTGTGACTGGGACCTGCCTCTTTGACACTCCATGTGCTCATCTGTAAAGCAGGAGCCCTGATGCCTCTTGTTAGCACTGTTTTAGCCCAGAGACACGGCTGTGCACATTTCCTGTGTCCGCATTCTAGGAGAGGCACTGTGTTCTTGACGGAGAGGAGCTGCAGCAGTCACTAAAGAGGAGGCCGTGAATTCTAGACCTGGGCTGCGTGTTCTCATCTGTCCCTCCTCACCCATCTCCTTGCCGGGGCGGCTGCAGCTCGGTCAGGTCGCCGTGGGGGTTTTTTACAGTCACATGGGTCCCCCAGTGTCAGCTGTATTGTGAGGTCATCAGCACAGTGCCTCCAACAGCTCCCTTAAGGCGAGAAGCTGGCTGTTTCCCCAGAGACTTTTGGAGGTTCCCAGATGCCATGTTCTCATGCTCACCTCTGGTCTCCCGAGACCCTTCACCTCCCGGGGCTCGCTTCTCTCTGCCCTCCCCTATCCGGCTCCGATTCCCCCCTTCCCGACCTGGGTCGCCTGTGTATGCGGCACCTTTACTGAAGTTTGGGGGCTCTAGAGGGTGTTTTCTTACAGACACGGTACCAGGTGTGGCTTCTCTGCCCACCAGTGTCTCTGTTTTCCCTCCGAACTATCACCCAGCACACAGCTGGACTCGGGCCTGAGGAGGAGGCCAGCTCACACCCATCTTTCTCAGAAAGCCTTGGCTATTTTGTCAGTTGCCCTCCCGCCAGCGCACACCCAGCAGAAGTTCTCTCTCCCCTGGACTCCCGCCTGTTAGTCAGCCTGTGGCTCTCTGTGACCAGGAAATACCCTGATGTCCTTGTCTGTCCAGAGGTTCCAAACTCTTTCATTATTATTTTATTTTTCCATAATGTAAAATTACAAAATAATATGTGTCTTTCTGTCAAACTGTAATGTTACTCCAAGATTCTGATATGCCCCTATAAAATAAACCAAAAGGAAGACTTGGCCATGTCCTTGTGGCTGTGGGAGATGACGCTGGGGAGAACGGCTGGGTCCCCGCTTCCTGGGCTGCACGAGGCTCGCCCTCAGGGCCCTGTGAGGCTGAGGGGGACTCAGCGTGCCAGGCTGCCTTCTGAGGTTGGTTCACTTTCTCATGAAGGCTCAGAGAAACCCCTGGAGGTGGATACTGTACCCATCTCCGTTAATAAGTGGGATTTGAACCTCAGAGACGGGAAGTAAGTGTCCAAGGTGACAGTGCTCCTAGAAAGAGGAACCGGGATTCAAACCTCCACCCTGCACCTACAGCCAGTGGGTGACGCTTCTGCTCTCGTTATGATGAGGACTCCAGGGTGTTCCAGAAAGTTCCTCGGGGTGGGGATGGGATCTGCTAACTCGGACTCATCCTCCCATTTCTTGCCGTGACAAGTGTTTCTGCATTTCTCTCCTAGCCCAAGTCGTCAAGTGTGACACCAAGATGAAGGACAAGTGTAAAGGGTCCACTTGCAACAGGTAGGGGCTGGCCCCTCCCTCCCCCACCACCTGCAGCCCTCAGACACACCACTCTGGGCCCGGGGTCCCTTCGTGACCTGTCGGCTGACCTGCTGTGGAAATGCCAGGTGTGCTATCGGCAGGGAGGTCCTGAACGATGTTTTGGTGCAGGTGGACGCTCCCTTCCACCCTCTGCGTGAAGGGGTCCCAGAGGGGCCCAGAGCTCTGGGCTGTGGCAGCGTCAGGGCAGGTGTGGCCGTGCCCGGGTCCAGCACGGCTGCTGTGGAGTCCCAGTCGTCCTGCTTCCCCAGGGCCCCACCAGACGAGGAGCAGCCAGCATCTCCCCTAGAGTGGAACGAATTAATCTAGCCAATGGAGTCACTTCATATCATCCATTTCAGATGTTGAAAAACATCTGCCAAGAAGAACAAGCTTGGTTTTGGCAACATAGCCACTGGGCTGCTCCTTCTGGCAGCGAATGGCCAACAGGTGCAGCGGCCACGTGCAGACCCTCAGGTTCACGGCAGGAAAACCATGTCATTGGTGGAGGGGCCCTTGCTCTTCTTCCTATAGGTCCTGGCGTCTGTTCATCTAAAGCTGAATCATGTTATTTAAAGCACATGCTCAAAAGAGAAGGTGTATCATATTACCTGAAAGAAACGGTCCTATTTTACACCACAGGGACGTGGAGTCAAGTTTGTCAGGAGAACGCCCCACGCCTTTGGTGGGAAGGCGGGAGTGTCCTGGGACAGAGAGCAGCTGGGATCAGATGTTCAAGGGGCTCATATGTTGTCCCACCAGCCTTGGTGATGGGCCAGCAAATACCGTGAAAGCAGAACCAGGCAGTTTGGTGGTGAGATGAGCAAGAGGTGGCAGCGAGGGTGGTGGAGTAACCATCTGCCCCCACCTTGCACGTCATCGCGGAGGGGTCTCCACCCTGCAGACTCCCGGGTCTGGGATGCCAGGAAGGCTCCTGAGCTGCCCGTGGCAGTGCCATGTCTTCCCGAACTGCTGACTTGTAATGAGAGCATCACTCCTGAATAGTCAGTGGGAAAAGATGACAAGGTTTGGAGAACAGTCGTTGTCAGACAGCATCAAAAGAGTTTCAGGATTGGAGGTAGACGGAGCCCGCCCCAGGCACGAAGAAGGCAGGAGTCTGGGCCTCTTAGACGCCTCCTGTCAAGAAGTAGAGCTCAGCCCACGTGTAGCCCCCTGAACTCCCACGGTGCCCTTCCTGGATGCCATCCCACCACCTGGCACATCAGTCTTCCGTACATGGCACTTTTGCAAGAAAAATATTTACTGGGGTGTTTTTTCTGACTTTAAAGGATATCCTTTTTCATTGTAATTCAGGAAAACAACCACCAAAGCACGTATAAAGAAAATAAGTGTCCTAGAATCTCGTTAGTGTCAGTAATAATTTGATGTTGTTCCTTCCAACCTTTGTTCTGTGCTCTGATTAGGCCTATCCTATTGTACAATCTTGTATGTTACTGGTTTCACTTAAGATTTCCAAAGTCAATAACTACTCCTCAAAAACTTCATTTCTAGTGGCCGTATAATATGCTGACATTTGGCCACACAGAAATACATTTGGCTATTCCTTTGACACCTGCTGACTTGCTTCCAGTTTTTCCCAGTTATAAATGGTTGGAATAATATGGAGGTCTGACTTTCTGGCTTTTTGCTTGGGAGATTCAAGAATCAAGGGATAGAAATTAAAAAATTTTTTTAAATTGAAGTATAGTTAATTTACAATGTTGTGTTAGTTTCAGATATATAGCAAAGTGATTCAGTTATACATATATTTACTCTTTTTCAGATTCTTTTCCATCATAGGTTATTATAAAATACTGCATGTAATACCTATATACAATATACAGTAGGTCTTTGTTGATTCTCTATTTTACATACAGTAGTGTGTATATATTAATTCCAAACTCCTAATTTATCCCTCCCCAACTTCCCCCTTTTGTATTCCTAAATTTTCTATGTCTGTAAGTCTGTTTCTGCTTTATAAATAAGTTCATTTGTATCTTTTTTTAGATTCCACACATAAGTGATATCATATATTTGTCTTTCTCTGACTTCACTTAGAATGGTAATCCATCCATGTTGCTGCAAATGGAATTGTTTTATTTTTATGACTGAGTAATATTACATGGTATATATGTACCATAATTTTTATCCATCTATCTGTTGATGGACCCTTAGGTTACTTCCATGTGAATATTGTGAATATTGCTGGTATGACCATTGGGGTACATGTATCTTTTTGAGTTAGAATTTTTCATCTTTTTGGGATATATGCCCAGGAGTGGGATTGCTGGATCACTTGGTAGTTCTGTTTTTAGGGAACCTCCATCCTGTTCTCCACACTGGCTGCACCAATTTGCATTCCCACCAAGAGTGTGGGAGGCTTCCATTTTTCCACACCTCTCCAGCATTTGTTATTTGCAAACTTTTTAGTGATGGGTGGTACCTCATTGTGGTTTTAATGTGCATTTTTCTATTAGCAACATTGAGGATCTTTTTATGTCCCTGTTGGCCATCTGGCTGTCTTTTTTGGATGAATGTCTATTTAGATCTCCTGCTCATTTGGGGGGGCTTTCTGATTGGATTATTTGTTCTTTTTTTTATATTAAGCTGTATGAATTTATATATTTTGGAAATTAATAGCTCGTGGGTCACTTCATTTGCAAATGTTTTCTCCCAGTTTGTAGGTTGTTTTTCTTCATTTTGTTTATGGTTTAAGGGACATGAATCATTAAGGCTTTCTGGAAAGATTAATTGGTATTTGTTTGTGAGCATGATCACCATCATTGAATTTTATTCTATTAAAACACCCTTGTAGTTTGACACCTGGAACTTTTAGTCTGCACATCTTTGATGATTTGTATCTGAGGACTTCTTTGGTGCCTTTGAAGCTGCTCATCTTTCTTCTGGACAAGGCTTTTGTCCATCTGTTCATAGAAACATCCATGTGACTTGAATCTGAAGCACATGAAAATGGTCTTTAAGAGGCCAAGTTGAATCTGTAATTGTGGCCAGGTGTCTAAACACTTCAGCCTGGGTAAATTGTGACTTACTCCCAAACAATGTTTGCTAGATCACCAACACATATGTAATAATAGCTGTTGAAGGGGACTAAAAACAATAAATTCATGGCAAGATTTTATCAATGTATTTTGTTCAACTTATGAAAATCATCTTCTTTCTTCCCCATCAGGTACCAGTGCCCAGCAGGCTGCCTGCACAGTGGAGCAAAGATCTTTGGGACTCTCTTTTATGAAAGCGTAAGTATGGCCAGAGCTTCTTTAAATGGCTGGCATGGACTCCTGTCTCTGTGTTAAAAGCAGGTGGCTGGTTTTCAGGTGAACAGATTTTCTTTCTGCTCAGTAGTCAAACCCCTGTCTTTGTAGAGCTGATCCATGCCTATTTCTGGGGTCACAGATTTGTGAAGCCACTTTCGGGAATGGGGGCTGACCCCCAGCCGACCAGTCTCTATGTTAGCCCCAGCGATAATATGCTCCACTGGAGGGGGAGAAAGGGCTGTTTGTCACTGTTCTTAGTTTGTAAAGCAACGCAGATGAGTTCTTAAAGATAAGCAACTCCAGAAACAAAGACGTGTTATAGAGCGAGGTCGGAGTCAGCAGTGGGGTGAGACTTGGCCCGGCTTTTTGGCTTTTTGTGGGTTGAGGACAAACATCTTGGGTGTTCCTGGAAATGATCGCTGACAAAGGTGAATTCAGATGTACTTACATTCCGGCCCCGCCCTGCAGGCGTCCAGCATCTGCCGGGCCGCCATTCACTATGGGATCCTGGACGACAGGGGAGGCTTGGTGGACGTCACCAGGAACGGGAAGGTCCCCTTTTTTGTCAAGTCAGAGAGAAACGGCGTGCAGTCTCTGAGGTAAATATTTGGTGATCAGGGCTCCTGAAGACTTCTTTTCTGATTGTGAGAGTATTGTTGAAACCTTGGGAAGTTCTGAACTGTATAACGAAGTGGGAAACAATAAAGATGACAATGCTAGAACTCAGAAATCACCCCTATAGGCCGTTTAGCATATTTTATTTCACTGGGTTTCTGTGTGTATGTTTAATGTATTGAGTTTTTTGTTTGTTTTGAGTTTTTTGTTTGCTTGTTTTTGTAGCTTTTAGGAAAGTTTATTCCATATTTGAAAGTTAATACTATTCTTAACTATGAAATGTACATATAGCCATTAAGATATAGAAAAACAAATAAGGAAATATTGACCCTTTCTTTCCCACTTGCTCGAGATAGTCTAGGTACACAACCTTCAAAAGCATACAGTCTTGCAGTCTGACGTGAGTTCTGAATCCTCCTTTTTCTCCCTTCCTTGTCACTGAGACCTTTTCAGACACCTCAGTAATGACTGATGGTATCTTTGAGTTTGCAGGCCAGTTCTTCACTGGCATTCCCTACATACCCCCCTACCCCCGAGAATGAAGCTTTTCATTTTTTAAATATACCTACTTGTGTTTGCAAGGTGCTTTTCACATAAGGTATGTGGATGAATCACAAGGCAGACCATCCTTGCCATCCGACTCTGGGGGATGGAGGGGCATGAAGACCAGCAGCAGGCCATGCCTTGGTCTGTCCATGGCATCGAGGCATAACGTGACCAGGAGCAGGTGGAACCCGCTGCAGGCCCTGGGGTCAAATGGACCCGGCTCTGCCTGCTCTGTCTGTGACCTGGGCTGGCTTCTTCATCCCTTCCGGCTGGCAGTGCCCTGATATTTAAATGGGGGCCATGGTAGGACCTGAGGCTGACACCCGCCACAGGGCGGCGTGCCAGGGACCCCTGTCAGCGCCCACCCCAGGGTCTGTGGCAGGAAGGAGCTCAGCAGACACTTCTGTGGTTGTTACAAGATGGTATGTCCGTGTCTGTTCTAAACTGTGAGGCCACTCAGAACATTTCAGAAACTATGTGAGTCATTCTGCTTGGAAAGGCCTGGTTCTTCATCTTGAGGCAGTGTTGCAATATTCCTTGTTCTGTCTTAGCTGGGGATTTGGGGGTTATGTAAACAAAACAAAACAAAAAAGAGCAAGGAAGTTTAAACGAAAACCAAGAAAATATTCAGAGAGATTGGTTGGGTGACCTCTACACCAGCCTTGATGGAGCTCAACCTCAGCCCCGGTGGAACTGTGGGCTTGGCTGAGGGTTTGGGCCTGTATTGCCCAGGATGCCTGTCCTGAAGCCCCTTCTGGTCCCTGCCAGTGGCCAGCTTTGCGTCTAGAGTGAGGCTCTTCGCGTCTTAGAATTCAGGGAGTCTGTGAACGCAAGGCAGATGAAAGCTTTAGTTTCACTGACCTCTAATTGAAATGTAATATTGTCTTCCTTTATGGATATTTAGCCCCACATCTAGCTAGCACTGCTAGAAGTCCACTTGCTGGAGACATCTTGAAACATTCTCTGCCATCGTGGTCCCTCAATGACAGAAGTTAGAAAAGCTGCCTCTTGATTCTGGTTTTAATGCATTAATGAAGATGCACAGCCATTAGACTAACACAAATTTGTTTTCATACTTTGATAATGATATTAATAATACATGACTTCCTTTTAATCTTTTAAATGTATCATATGCATTTAAAAAGCATTGTTCTGAGGAGGTGTCCAAAGGCTTTAGCAGGCCTCTAGAGGGATCCTTGGCACAATGAAGGTTAACGAGCCCTGTTCTAGAATGTTCTCAGTCTAGACCTTGCTCGGGAACATGCTAAGGGCTTTCGGGGTGATGGGAAACAGGAAGGTATGAAATTGAGGCTGAAATAAACTAAGTACAGTAGCAAGGGTGCATGTTTAGAAGCAGTTCTGTTTTGCATTCACCTAATGTTTCCTTTCACAGCAAATACAAGGCTTCCAGCTCATTTACGGTGTCAAAAGTAAAAGGTAAGGTGGACCGTCTTCTCTTAAATGACCACAATCCACAGGTTACCCTGGAATTTTGTTCCCCTTAGTTACTGATTTAATGGTTATCATACCTGTTGATACTGCTTTTCTCAGTATTGCCACAATAATGAAGAGGTTCCTGAGGATTCTTTAGCTAGTTTCTAAACATATCTAAACGTGGCATTGGCCCTAGATGGCTGAGGCTGGAACACATACCCAAGTTCCCAGCTGACTGTCACAGAAAGACAATTGCCTGGGTCTAGAGTAGCTAACAGGCTATGTAGGCAGTGTTGGTCTCTACTGAGTGGTAGTGGCTACCTGGAGCATCGTGTTGAGAAGGATTCTGAGGCCCAGTTCTGTGCTCAGCAGAAAACGGAGCTGGAGAGGTTAGTCGTGTCTGCCACAGAAGAGGGAGTGAAACCTGGGGAAGGACATGGCCAATGTTTGCCGTATCTCGTCCAGCTAGGTACATGACCTGTGGCTTGTTCCTTTGGCAGGGCGGCATGTGACCATGGGAGAGCAGGCTGTAATCAGAATCAGGGTTGGGTTTATAGTTGCCCAGATCAGGCACTTGACTGGAGGGTCTCAGGCAGGCAGGGGTGCATAGGCACACTACAAACATTGCCTCTCCACCCCGGGAAACTTCCCACCCAGCCGTTCTTCCTTTGGGAAAGCCATGCTTGTCATTTGCCCTGGATACCAGACATGTTGTTGTTCATTTGCTTAGTCGTGTCCGACTCTTTGTGACCCCATGGATTGCAGCACGCTAGGCCTCCCTGGCCTCCACCGTCTCCTGGAGTTTACTCAAACGCATATCCACTGAGTTGATGATGCCATCCAATCATTTCATGCTCTCTCATCCCCTTCTCCTCCTGGATACCTGACTACCTGGTTAGATATCTTTATAGAAACATGTAGCAGCGTTTTACCGTATTACAAAATTAATACCTATTTATTCCAGATAATTTAAAAATATGGAGAATCAGTAGGGAAAAAAGAAAAAAGAAGACCTAAGTTCGACCACTCAGATAACTACTCTGAACATTTTGGTGGATTTCTATAGAGTTTATTTTCCCTCTGCATTGAGTATATACATTGGTAATATGTAATTGATATGTTTTTTAAAATTGAAATTGGTAGCCTGATTTTCTTTTCAAATAATAATATACCAAGAATATACTTCTGTACCTTTAAGTGGACTTCTGAACCTAATTTTAATGGTCTCCCCAGCATCCCATTGTATAATAGACCCTTGTTGGACCTCTGCATAGACCCCTGCCCATCTAAATGATAGGCTCTGCTAGAGGTGGGCAAACTACAACCTTCAAGGCCAAATCCTGCCTGCCATCTGTTTTGTAAATAAAGTTTTATTGGCACGGAGCCGTGCCCATTCATTTCTGTGTTGCCTAAGAATGGTTTTTCAACAGTATGTGAACCGTGAACTTCCAGATGTTCAAGCTGGTTATAGAAAAGGCAGAGAAACCAGAGATCAAATTGCCAGCATCTGTTGGATTATCAAAAAAGCAAGAGAGTTCCAGAAAAACATCTATTTCTGCTTTATTGACTATGCCAAAGCCTTTGACTGTGTGGATCACCACAAACTGTGGAAAATTCTGAAAGAGATGGGAATACCAGATCACCTGACCTGCCTCTTGAGAAATCTGTATGCAGGTCAGGAAGCAACAGTTAGAACTGGACATGGAACAGACTGGTTCCAAATAGAAAAGGGAGTACGTCAAAGCTGTATATTGTCACCCTGCTTATTTAACTTCTATGCTGAGTACATCATGAGAAATGCTGTACTGGATAAAGCACAAGCTGGAATCAAAATTGCTGGGAGAAATCTCAATAACCTCAAATATGCAGATGACACCACAGTTAAGGCAGAAAGTGAAGAAGAACTAAAGAGCCTCTTGATGAAAGTGAAAGAGGAGAGTGAAAAAGTTGGCTTAAAGCTCAACATTCAGAAAACTAAGATCATGGCATCTGGTCCCATCACTTTATGGCAAATAGATGGGGAAACAATGGAAACAGTGGCAGACTTTATTTTGGGGGGCTCCAAAATCACTGCAGATGGTGACTGCAGCCATGAAATTAAAAGATGCTTACTCCTTGGAAGAAAAGTTATGTCCAATTTAGATAGCGTATTAAAAAGCAGAGACATTACTTTGCCAACAAAGGTCTGTCTAGTCAAAGCTATGGTTTTTCCAGTAGTCGTGTATAAATGTAAGAGTTGGACTATAAAGAAAGCTGAGCACCGAAGAACTGATGCTTTTGACCTGTGGTGACCTCTTGAGAGTCCCTTGGACTGCAAGGAGATCCAACCAGTCCATCCTAAAGGAAATCAGTCCTGAATGTTCATTGGAAGGACTGATGCTGCAGCTGAAACTCCAATACTTTGGTCACCTTTTGCGAAGAACTGACTCATTGGAAAAACCCTGATGCTGGGAAAGACTGAAGGTGGGAGGAGAAGGGCACAACAGAGGATGACATCACCAACTCAATGGACATGAGTTTGAGTAAACTAAGGGAGTTGGTGATGGACAGGGAGGCCTGGCGAACTGCAGTCCATGGGGTCGCAAAGAGTCGGACATGACTGAGCAACTGAACTGAACTGACCTGAACTGATGGCTGGTTTCTGCTACAACAGCAGAGTAGAGTGGTTATAACACAGACCATAGGGACCTGGAGATGTTTACTCTGACTCTTTAAGAAACAGTTTGCTGAGGCCTGGACTAAACAAGGACAGGCTGTTAGAGACCACAGGTATTCAGTATTAGAAGTGCTTCCTTAGACACAGCATTTGACCTTGAAGGAGTCACCCACCCCTCGGGAAGGGCTTGAGCAATGAGCTGAGGCTGGAAGTCAAAAACCAGACCTTCAGCGTGTCCTGTGCAGCCTCAGGGGGTCTCTTAGCTCTTCTGGACCTCAGTTTCCCCATATACATAATTAGAACAATACCGTCCATGAGGGTCCAGCATGATAAGGTAGAGGTAAAGACTTCAAAGTGGAAAAGCACAATGCTGGCCCCACAGGGAAACTGGTAAGGGTGATGACCTTTGACCCGTAGACACATTTGGACTGTGGGGTTTGTCTCATCCCTTGAGTGGACGGGGGGAGGAGTTGGGAGCACTGAGGCCTGGTACCGGCTGGGTTCCCCTCCCAGCTCTTATCTGAGTTCAGGGGCCCAAGTAGCCCCCAGGACCCATTGTCCAGCAGCCCCTTTCATAGTCTGGAAGCCTGAGGCTCAGGCCCACCTATGACCTGTTGTTCCCATTCACAGTGCAAGACCTGGACTGCTATACCACTGTGGCCCAGCTCTGCCCATATGAGAAGCCGGGGACCCACTGCCCAAGGTAAGGCTCCCTGGCATCTGGATTTGCAAACATGGGGGCTGAGAGAAAAAGGGCCAGGCTGGGTTGTGGGGTGGGTGGGGTGGTCACCGCATGCAGCCACGCATGGCTGAGTTCTAGACATGGCCCTGGCATATGTCCACACAGGAAGTCATTTGCTTTGTGGTCTGAGTCAAGGACCCACCCAACTTCCTGAGACCACTCATTCTCAGCCCTGGCTGCACACTGGACTTGCTGCAGAGGCATTAAAAGGATGAATCGCCATCTCCAAGGGTGGCCCAGGAGGGCGTCGCATCTTTAGAAGCTTCTCCGTGAGCCCCTTGTGTAGCCAAGCTCCTGGGGCCTTCCATGAGGAACTTAACTGAGAAGATGATTTTGCCCCGCTCACTGTTGCATCCACTAACAGGAGAGAGCGTCTGCTTAGTTGCTCAGCCCTATCTGACTCTTTGTGACCCCATAGACTGTAGCCCGCCAGGCTCTTGTGTCCGTGGGATTCTCTAGGCAAGAGTAATAGAGTGGGTTGCCGTGTCCTCCTCTAGGAGATTCTTCCCAACCCAGGGATCAAACCCAGGTCTCCCGCTTTGCGGACGGATTCTTTACCGTCTGAGCCAGCAGAGAAGCAGAGGAGAGTATTTGACTTCATTTGCCGACAAGCTCTTCCCAGGCCCCAGGACAGACCTCAGGGCCTGTCGCTCTTGGACCCTTAGACCAGCTGAGAACTCTGGAAGCTGGGTGCCGCTGTCCCCTTGGAATCTGCTCTTTGATTCTTGTATTTGATCTGTGATGCTTTCTGTGGGTCACTTTAGAACCAGCTTGTTAAAATCCAGCTTTTTGGAGGTAAAACTTATACACAGTGAAATCCACCAGCAATGAGTATATAGTTGGGTGTGTTTTGACCAGTGTATACCACAGTCCTGACAGAGGACGTTTTCATCACCCCAGCAGGTTCCCTTGTAGTCCGTTTCCCTCCCTCTCTCTCTCCTGTATCCCTGCCAGCCCCTGATCCACTTCCTGTCCCTATAGTCGTGCCTTTTCTGGACTCTCATGTACATGGGGCCATCACAGCAGACTTGTGTGTCTGGCTTCTTTGACTCCGCACAGTGCTTTGCAGTTCATCTGTCCTACAGCCAACGTGATTTGTTTCTTCTTTCACGTTGCCGAGGTGTTCCACTCTGTGGATGTACTGCAGTTTGTCTAAGGACTGAGTTTTACCGCGCATCTGCCTAAACCTTACTTGGCTGGTTTTTGGAAGATGGTGTGTCATAACTAAAGAAGGGTGCCTCTGAAGTACCTATTAGACCCTCTCAGAAGCTGTGGGATATGGTGTCCCCCTGAGCGCTTCTCCTGGGCCTGGATGCCTGTGGGTTCTCCAAGGGAAAGACTGACCTTAAAACCAACAGGTGAGGGGCTTCGCTGGTGCTCCAGTGGTTAGGAGTCCTGCTTCCATGGCAAGGACACAGGTCTGATCCCTTGTTGGAGAACCAAGATCTTGCATGCTGGGAGCAGCAGCCCCCCATAACCTAACAGGCAGAGACCCCCCGAGGATGAGCAGGAGGAACCCCGGGAGGGTGCTGATGAGGGAGAGGGGACTGGACTGGGCCCCGGACTCCTCCCCTTGGCTACTCACGTTCCCCTTGGGGCTTTCTCACTGCCCACTGCCACCTCCACAACCATGCTGACCCGCCTTGAGTGTTCAAGGAAAAACATCCCTTTAATGTTTTCCCACATGTTACAGAGAAGCAGAAGGAAGTAATTTAAGAAAGTACAAACAAGAAGAAAAACTTGACATACTACAAGTATCCAAAATGTTTCTGACCTCTCATTCCAGAAGCAGGAAAGTACATTCTTACCCCAATTCTCTTTTTTTTTCTGTTTAAATCTCAGACACATCCTCATTCTCTCTGCCCATCCTGCTCCTTCGTCCCAAAGGACCCTTTCCACTTCCTGGTTGCTCTGCCTGGCTCTCTTCCCCTCCAGCATCCTGCCTGTCTCTGGGCCAGAGGGCTTCCGGCCGCCTTTTTGGTTTCTTGGTCCCTGGGCTCCAGCCCACGTGTGCCTGTTCCAGATGAAGACAAAAGAGCTTTTCTTAAGTCAAGCTTGTACTTTCTTGGTTTGAGAGGCTCTGGTTTGAGGCACTCTCCTCATCCCCTGTGGCAGGGATGTGGTGACGGACACAGCAGTGAGCAAACCCTTCCTGCCCCAGGTTATCAGTGTTCCCTCCCTGGAATATTCTGTGACTCACAGAGGTGAGCGCCCCCACCCTTTCCTCCTCCACAACAGGGAAGTGGCCTTAAAAAAAAAATCTATTGATTATAATCTCTATAAAGTACCCACAGTGTGAACCAGCCACACCCAAGAATGGGAGGTACAACCCCTTACAATTCCAGACTCACCTCCGTGAGATTTTTGTTTCATTTCACCTCGTTGTTTGTGCATGTCTTTTAATATGAAGAGCTTTTTCTCTAAAAAAATTTTATTGCAGTATAGTTATTTACAACATCGTGTTAGTTTCAGATGTACAACAAAGTGAATCAGTTATATGTGAACCTATTGCTGTTCAGTTGTGTTTGACTCTCCGTGACTCCATGGACTGCAACATGCCAAGCTTCCCTGTCCTTCACCATCTTCCGGAGTTTGCTCAAACCCATGTCCATTGAGTTGGTGATGCCATCCACCCACCTCGTCCTCTGTCACCCCCTTCTCCTCCTGCCCTCAATCTTTCCATCTACTTCCACTCTTTTAGGTTCTTTTTCCTTATAGTCATTACAGAATATTGAGTATACTTCCTCGTGCTATACGATAATATAGAGTAGGATCTTACAGTAGGAATATTTTATATATAGTAGTGTGTATATGTCAATAAAATTCTACATGTATTTTTAAGAAAAGGAAAAATATCTTTTATCACTGCTAGGGTGAGAGAGGTATATATGTATTTTTTCTTAAAGAGTAGGCTGTGGTAATAATTGCCTTTCATCTAACTACTAAATCTTGATGAGCAAATAAAGAGGGCCAGCTGCTTTTCTCAAGAAGTTTTGTTTTCTGCTGATGATAACCATTCCCTAAACACTTCTTGTTTTCCAGAGTTCGCTGTCCAGCGCACTGCAAAGACGAGCCATCCTATTGGGCTCCTGTGTTTGGAAGCAACATCTATGCCGACGTGAGTATTCTGGCCTTATCAGTGACTGCCCCACAGAAACCATGTTCCAGGGTCTGGACGTCAGAAACTTAAAATCTCATTCCTGTGCCTCTAGATAAATTTATACCATTCATTTCTGCTACCAGTGCTCTAGTTTCTACATTTTCAGAAGTATTTGTGCTTCCACCAATGTGTGCTAATGAACACAGACATGGGTGTACCTCCTCTTGCCCAGACATCTTCAGAGTTTGGTGACTGAATCCTGCTCCCTCACTGACAAGCTCTTCTCATGTGAAAGCTGCCATGCATCACATACTGCCTTCCCCCAGACACTTAACAACCTTTCTGGCTCTCCTGATGCTTGTATAGCTGTTGGTCTTCTCCACTCATTGCATTTCTTTTTGGCTGTGTACATACACTGAACTAAAAGCACATAGAAGAAAGTACAAACTCCACCAGTGCACTACTTGTTAACAACCGCTCTTATTATATTCCATTTTTCCATCCTCACTTTAGCAAGGGAACTTTAACTTGGTTGTTTTTTAAATTTTATTGACGTATAGTTGACTTACAGAGTTGTGTTCATTTCCACTGTACAGAAAAGTGACTCAGTTACACACACATTCTTTTTCATGCTCTTTTCCATTCTGGTTTGTCACAGGATGGGGAATACGGCTCTCTGTGCTCCACAGTAGGCCCGTGCTGTTCGTCCATCCTACAGATAAGAGTTTGCAGATATGGTTCCTACAGAACAAGGTCTCTTCCTCCTGTGGTCCAGGGTTTAGGGACATGGTAACCCAGGAGGTGTGAATACAGCCACAGCTCTGCCCAGCCGGCTGTGTGGTCTTCTTGACCAAGCCATTCACCTCTCTGTAGAATGAGCCAGGGCTGGGGTTTTCTAATTCAGGGAATCCTCTAGATCTGAAAGTCCATGAGTAGATCAGCTTCACTCAATCCCAGCTAATGTCTTTACTCAGCTTTTCCTCATCTTCATTTCCATAGTTCTCCTGCATCCACTATCACCACCCCCGCCTTTGCCTCCATCTGCCTTCATTTATTCTGGACTCCTGTAGTGTGAGCTCACTGAGTTCTGTAAAGTCAAAGCAACCTTCATGACTGACCTTCCCCCACCCCTCATCTTTTTTTCCTCTCCTCTTTAAATGAGCCTTTTTATTTTTCTCCTTAAAAGGTGCTTAGCCAAAATGGAGCTCTAAAAGTTTAATGAAGGGATAAAACAATGTGAATCAATTGTTATACCAAATATTTAAGCCAAAACCTGCAACTGAAAGACAGAGTCTTTGATTTTCAAGTGCTTTAAATATAAAAGGACAAGGAAGATGATTCTAGTAAAGTATAAAAAGACAAATAGATAAAGCAGGAGTGGCAATATTGCTATCTGATAAAGTGGAATTTAAACATACTGAATGGGACAAGACAATTCATTATGCAATGGCACAAAAGGAACAATTTATGTAGATGTGAAAATCAAGTCCATATGCTCCAAACAGTGTAGCAGCTAAACATATAAAGCAAAAGAAAAAAAAAAGTTTAGAAATGCAAGAACTTGATGAAATTTTAGTAATAATATAAGGCTACATTTTACTTTGTTTTAGGTTCTTAAAAACATCATCACTAGGTATTGTTACTCCCATCTTACACAGACAGACAGGGAGGCTCAGAATAACCTGCCACAGATCATGCCGCTGGCAGTGGGGAAGGCGAAATGCAGATGAGGGCATGTCTTGCCTTTGGGTCTGTTCTGCCTGCATGAATGTTGCTGCACTTCTGAATACACAGGTGTGAACAGGCCTGTTTGTGAAAACCTGTATTCAGTCTCTAACTAAGTTATTCACTAGGATTTTTAGCTTTTGACAACACTGTGCTGGTGCCCATGACAGGGCTTGGTATATAATAATTGTTTGATTAATGTTTGTTAAAAGAATAAGTAGATAAAAATACTGCAGTTGTTAATGCCTAAACATCTCTTGAGAAAATTTAAAAAAAAAAAAGAAAAGGAAGGAAGGGAAAAAGAAAGAGAAAACTACCTCCGTTTCAGAGGCTCTTTTCTGGCCTCGGTTTCTAGGTCACTCTGTATTCTGGGAAATGATGATGCCCCTGGAAAATGTCTGTTTAGCTAAGAGATTTATTTTGGGAGAGTTGTCTCCAGGCCTTCGAAGGGCCCAATAGTGCCTCCCCTAGCGTGCGTTACTTGGCAGACCCCGCACTTTGTGGTGAGCTGCAGGCAGGAGGAGCACCAGGCTGTAGCCTGTGAACCACGTCTGGGTCAGAAGATGCAAAAAACTCAAGCCCCAGCTGTGACACTTAACAGTCCTGGGATGGTGAACGAGCCTTGCCCGGCTCTGAGCCTCAGTTTTCTTATCTGTCCCATCTCCCTCTGTGGCTCTTTGAGTTCTCACGCCCGAGCATGCACCAGAATCCCCAGAGGGCTTGTCCAGACAGAGTTCCGGGTCCCACCCCCACTGTGTTTCAGGCTCAGGCGGTCTGGGGCAGAGCCAGGGAATCTGCATTTCTAGCAAGTTCCCTGGTGGTGCTGATGCTGCTGGTCTGAGATGGCACTTCAAGGACCCCTGGGTTGGAGATGACAGTCCTGTGGGAATTTTCAATAATGGTGATGGTTAGAGTAATGATTATGGTGATGTTTGTCTTGTTAACCGACATCTGTTGAGCACTTACTGTGTGCAGGCCTGCATTTAGCCTTTGATCTTTACATAATTGCCTCGCTAGCCCCTCTCGGGGTCTTATTGACCCCTGTGAAGTAGTGTGCAGCTTGCCAGCTCTGAGCAGCAGTCCTGGCTCTGCTGTTTGCCAGCCCAGTGATTTGGGGCAAGTCTTTAAACCCCTGTTAAGAGGGAATAATAGTGGTGGTGATGATGATGACCATAATAATAATGATGATGATGATAATACTGTGTAGGTTACTGGGAGTTACTGTATCAATCACTTGAAACAGTCAGAACTCAGCCGGTAGTGATAACTGCTTAGAAAGATTACCTATGATGATCCCTGCTTTATGTTGAGAATATAGAGCCTCTGAGGGTTAAAATAGGTCATCCAAGGGAGGTGGGAGGGGGGACCGGGATGGGGAATACATGTAAATCCATGGCTAATTCATTTCAATGTATGACAAAAACCACTGCAATGTTGTAAAGTAATTAGCCTCCAACTAATAAAAATAAATGGAAAAAAAAAATAAAAAAATAAAATAGGTCATCCAAGGCCACACAGCCAACCAGTGGTGGGGGCAGGGGTGCTGAGACCAGATCTCTGTTGATAGTGCTTGTGAATAAGTATCCAGATACCGGTGTTGCCAATATGTGGTGTTGGAGAAGACTCTTGAGAGTCCCTTGGACAGGAAGGAGATCAACCCAGTCCATCCTAAAGGAAATCAACCCTGAATATTCATTGGAAGGACTGATGCTGAAGCTGAAGCTCCAATATTTTGGCCACCTGATGAGAAGAGTCAACTCATTGGAAAAGACCTTGATTTGCTGGGAAACATTGAGGGCAGGAGGAGAAGCGGACAACAGAGGAGGAGATGGTTGGATGGCATCACTGACTCAATGAACATGAGTTTGAGCAAGCTCCGGGAGATGGTGAAGGACAGGGAAGCCTGGTGTGCTGCAGTCTGTGGGGTCGCAGAGTCAGACACAACTGAGCGACAGAGCAACAACAAAGTCGGCGTTGCCTCAGGTCTTGAGGAGAGAAAGCAGATACCTTGTACCTTTGGGGAAGCAGAGGTGAGAGGAGATGTGTGGGAGGAGGAAGCGGGAGGAGAGTGTTTGTCTGCCATCAGCAGTGGAAGGCATATGCGGTGATCACCGGCCCATGCAGCGAGGAGGAGGAGGCCCTGGGTGTGAGGGTCCCATGCCTGCGGCCTGCTGTTATCGTGGGAACTTCTGTACCACTGGTGCCCAGACACCCTCGGGGGCCGGGGCAGAGGGCCATCACAGAGGCCCCAACACCGGAGCACCCGGCCTCTTGGCAGCTGTGGTCAGAGGTTGTGCCTCCTGGGCAGGCCCTGGGTCTGGTCACTCACAGAGCGTGAGCAATGCGAGAGGGAGATGGAAGAACCCCCAGCCACCCACCAGGCAGACAGTGAGCCCCAGCTCAGGCCTTCAAACAGCAAACGTAGGAGGATTCCACAACGATGGTTTCCTTCGCAGTCTCCTGCCTCTCTCTGAGACGGGGCAGACTTACTGCTTGTTAATCTTCTAGGGACACAAAGAGAACTGGAAAGTCGTGGATCCTTCCTCCGAGGAGGTGAGGGTGGAGAATGCTTCTTTGTATTGATAAAGTTGACCAACCATCCCAGTTTGTCTGGGATGCTGAGTTTCCCAGGCTCAGTGCTAAAACCTCGAAAGTTCTGGCCAACCTTCTAGGCCCACAGAGTTCTGCCTGCAGCCTCAGGGCCTCGCAGATGCCCCGGAGCCTGCTTTGGGCTAAGGAATCCGGCCCTCATCTGTTTAATGTATGAACTGAAGACAAGATATGTTCATGTGGGATTAGAAAAACTGGCCTTCAGCTCCTCACATCAGTCAGTGGTGAGAAGCAAGAAATCCAGTTCTCCCATCTTTAGTGGGACGGTGCCTGTCGGCTCTGAGACTCTCCAGCTTTTAACAGCAATATTAACTTCCCAGGGAGCGGGCAGGGCGGGGCCTTCTACTGTGAGTGTTTTTTCCTTCTGCAAAACCAGCAGCTTGTCTGGAATGGCCTGGATTTGGAAGGGATGTGGCAGGAATTGGCAGTCTGCAGGGCTGTTGGGTCTTTCTCTCTGCCTCTGACCGTCCAGTCTCCCTCTTGCAAGGACCCTTGGAATTCTGCTGGACCCACTAGGGTAATACAGGACCCTCTCATCTCGAGGTCCCTACCTTCGTCACATCTTCAGAGGCCTTGTGCTGTGCCACGTCACATGCCCACATGTTCCAGGGACGGGGGTGGGCATCTTCGGTGGGCAGTTCTGTTATTCTGCTGACCACAGAGGCACAGCCTTGACCTTTAACCCGATCTTGTTTGGAATGGCTATTAAACCAAGAAGTGTCCTCAGGGCCTTGGCAATGTTGTCCAGTCTCACTGAGCCTGTGTTTCTGGCCTATAAAATGGGAATAATGTAGTCACCCATCTCACTGGAAGATGAAATGAGATGACAAGCAAAAAGCAGCCCAGGGCTGGTGTTCAATAAGCTCAGTCAACATTAGCTCTGCTCACCGTGACGGAGGCTGTTCACTCCACAGCTGGGTTAGCTCCTCTTATGTCTGCAGCCCTGGCTGCACCTGACAAACACTCAGCCTCAGGCTTCACCCCAGAGCAGCTGAATCTGTGGGGTCGAGGGGGAGGAGGGGGGATAGGAAGGGCATCACCAGGTAAAGATGCCGCAGCTGCAGTGAGGGTGGAGGCTCGCTGCCAAGGCCAGTGTCAGAGTCCAGCACAGGCCAGACGAAGGACTGCAGAAGAGGCAGGAGGGTGTTACCTTGAGTCGGCCTCAGCATCACCTGGCCCTCACCTGAGGGGTGGTTCCGAGTCCGTAGGTACATCAGGGTGAGGTCCCGGAGCCTGTGTCATTTACAAGCGCTGGCCTCCCCGGCCCTGAATGAGTCTCCCCAGCTTTGAGAAACATTGACTAATTACTTTCAGACACCCAGTCTGAGGAGCGTTTTTCTACTGCATAAGTCAAGACCCTAATGGAAGTTGAACCCGATGATTGTCTTACCCAGGGATTGGATGACTCAAAGACTTTAGAAAACAGCATCTCCTGCCCTTGCTTGAGACACAGTGGCTCGTGTGGCACCTGGAGTGAACCCAGATGCCCCCACGGCCCTCATGGCCCCGAGTGACTGGCCCCTGCTCACCTCCTCCCCCCTCTCCTGCTGCTTTCTGCCTGACTCACTGTGTTCCAGCCGCCCTGGCCCTTCTTTCTATTCTTTGGATGTGATAAGTTCACTGCACCCCAGGGCCTTTGCACAGGCTCTCCCTCTGCCTGGGACACTCCTCCCAGAGATGTTGCCATGTCTGTGGGAGTCTGCCCGTATTAACTGTTCTAAAACAGCCCCTTAATCTTATCTCATGATCAGGTTTTGTTTTCTTCATGACGTGAGTTCCTCATTTGTGTATTTGTCTGTCTGTCTCTCTTGACTCCGTGAAGGTAGAACCTTTATTTTGTTTCCCCCGAATCCTCTTGCATCTAGTACAGTGCCTGGCACATAGTAGGTGTTCAGAAAATATTGTCAAAAAATGAACAAATGAATGAGGGATGAGGCCAGGTCTCCCTGGAGAGACCGCTGAGGAATCGAGGTAGTGATGGTTACTTCCTAGGGCTTGGTGGGGTCAACATCCTACCAACCAGCAAGCCACATCACGGTTGACCCCATCAGGGTGTGACTGAGGGCCTGACCTTGACACTAATCACAGCCCTTCCCTTCTGCACTTTCAGACTTCCAGCATCTGTAAGACCGCCGTGCACGCGGGGGTCATCCGGAATGAGAGTGGGGGCTACGTGGACGTGATGCCCGTGGATAAAAAGAAGACCTATGTGGGCTCGCTCAGGAATGGAGTCCAGTCTGAAAGGTAGGGCTGCTTTCTCAGACACTCAACACCCAGGGCCTGTCGGGGTCATTGGAGGAGGGCCACGGTGAGCGCCCTTTAAGATAAAGGTTGGGCAGACCTGGCACATGTTCTCAGTAGAACACCCAGAACAAGCCTGTCCTTCTCTTCTCTCTTCATTTCTTTTTTCAAAAGGAGAGCTTGCTTCTATGCCCAGCGCATGTTTTTGTAGACAATTTAGAGGTATCAGATAAGCCCCAAGGAAAACCATCACCCATTACCTCTCGCCTGGGGGAGTTAGGGATCTTTGGTGTGTATTCCTCTGATCCTTTTTCTGTATGTATATGTGCATGCCTCCCCCACGCCCCTCCCCCCAAAAGACAAAGGGATCAAGTTAGAGTCACACAGCAGTGCTCTAGCTTTGTCAGAATATAGCTGCATTTTGTTACCCAACTAAGAGCCGAGTCTGGAGTGCAGCAGACCTAGGCTCTGCTTCTTCCCAACTTTGTGACCTGGAGCCAGTCGCCTGGTTTCTCGAGCCTCCGCTTTCTGGCCTGGAACGTGGGGAGAACTATAGTCCCCACCTCTGGGGGTATTGCAAAGCTGACGGAGGTGTTGCCTAGCTCTTCTGGCCCGGACACCAGCCACATTGGACTGGGGCCCACGCTGATGACTGCATCTTATTTAATCACCTCTTTGAAGTCCCCTTCTCCAAGTACAGTCACATTCCGAGGGCACCGGGGATTAGGAGGTCAACATGTGAACTTGAGGGTGGGGGCGTACAAGCCAGCCAGCCCATACCAGGGGAAATGATGAAGATTTTATACTTGGGGACCGCTTTAGAAAAGGAATATAAAGTGAAGGGTACAAACTGTGCCAGGCCCCATGAAGCCCGGGCTGTCGTGGCTCCCTGGCGCTCCGCCGCTGTCTGCACCCTCCCAGCCTCCTGGGGCACTGCAAAGCCGGACCCTGCAGAATCAAGTGACGGGGATCCTGGTGGGGGGTAGGGGCTCGCAGGATGTGCTCGGTCGTGGCCATTAGCCCCAAACCCCCGGAGTTAGTGGCTTCTGCATTTCCTCCTTCAAAACCTGCAACCTCTGTGTGGGAGAAGCTTAATGAAGGGAAATTCCATTGATTTAATAGGAGGGAAATGAAGCCGCTGATTAGGTGGAATTTCCTGGTGGGGCTGGAAAGAAATCCCAGGACACCCATCTCTTGAGTTCACTGTGTCCCTTTGAGAGAGAAAATGCAAAAAAAAAAAAAACGCAAAAAAAAAAAAAAGAGAGAGAAAACGCCTTGGTGAGAAGCTGACAGGCTGGCCTTCTTATCACTGAGAGGACCCCAGCAGCTCCACCCCTGCCCTAGGCTGGGACATAACGGGGTCTCTAGGGAGGACTGGGGACTGACAGAATGTCCCCCAAAGTGCCTTCTTCCCCACTGTTAACTGCCCCCCTCCATCTGTAGTTTTCTTTGGCCAAAGGACCCGACTGAAATGCTGTCATTATAATTGCCCCTTGACATTCATGGCGCCTTGGTTCCAGGATTCCCCCAAGGATACCCCAGTCCGAGGATGCTCAAGTCCTTATTGTTGTTGTGGTCGTTTAGTCGTTCAGTCATGTCTGACTCTTGTGACCCGATCGAATGTAGCGCGCCAGGCTCTCCTGTCCATGGGATCTCCCAGGCAAGAATACTGGAGTGGGTTGCCATTTCCCTCTCCAGGGGATCTTCCCGACTCAGGGATTGAACCCGCGTCTCCCACACTGGCAGGCAGATTCTTTACCTCTGAGCCACCAGGGAAGCCCCCAAGTCCTTATACACAATGACGAAGAACAGGAGGCCGTCCACATCCACGGACTCCACAGCCACGGGTGGACGTGGAGTGGATACAGAGGGCTGACTGTGTCTTGCGGGCAGCCTTCCCCAGGCCCCGCAGTGGTTGATGCGCCCTGCGCTACTCAGACAGGTTCTACTTAGCCAACAGTCTGCTTGGGCTCTTTCCTCCTGAGTAGGTCGTGCAGGCTGAATTCTGTGATCAGCTGAAATCTGTGGTGAGCTTCCTGACCTGTAGAGGGAAAATGATAGCACCCACCCCCAGTGTTGGGGGATACAGTGGGTCTCCAAGTGGGCTCCCCAGAGCAGCATCCAAATTGATGGGGAGTTTGCTAGAGAAGCACATTCTCTGGCCAACCCGAGACAGACACTTGGGGAGTGTGGATCTGCCCTCGGGGGCCCTGACGCCCGCTGGAAGGTGACCGCTGCTGCAGAGGGGGTGATGCAGGGTGACCGTGTCCTGGTCACAGAGTCGTACCGTCCATGATTCTAATAGTTTGTGATGTACTCTGTCTCTGCGGGGGTCCAGACCCATGCCAGGATGAGTGGGTGCCAGATGGTGGTCCTCCCTGCACGTGCAGAGGGGAGAGGCCCGGCCAGAGGGGATGTGGGGTCCAAGGGCAGCCGGGAGCTCTCTGCACTGCTCGTCAGCTGGGTGTCCTGGGGCAGGAGTCTCCCCAGGCCTCTGTCAGTGTCTGCTGTGAGGATTAAATGAGAAAGTACGTGCAAAGCACTCACCAGCGGCTTAGAGCAAGCATCTAATAGACCTGCTGGCCTGGCTGTTATGACACCTTAAGGCCTGTTTTGAACCTCAAGACACTATGATTCTTTTCATGTAGGGTCAGGTAACTCAACTATAGGAAGTAGCCTACATGGATTATTCCAGGACAAGGGAGAAAGCATCGTGCACGATTTACTCATTCATCCTGATATCCATCCATTACGTGTGCTCTCACCCATCAGGTGTCACGCACGGGGTGAACCCTTACAGTGTCCCAGGCACTGGGACCAAGTGGGGAACACATAGCCCCGATCTCCGCCCTCCTGGGACTTGTCACCTAGTTGCAGGACAGACAGTGCGGAAATAACTTCAGTAGCAGGTCACAGGCGTCTCTGCTATGGAGGGTGGTGCCAGGAGCTGAGTACACCCAGCAGGGTCCCATCTTACTGTCTGGAGGGGCCTCTGTGGTGACATGGCTCCTGCAGAGATGTCTGGCTGCCCTAGGCAGGGCAGCCCCCTCCTCCCCTTCTTTAGATGGGACCTGAGCCCCTCTGCGTAGGGACCAGGGCTGAGAAATTTCCCTGGAGCCTGTTCCCATTAGGGACTGTGGGAACCCAGCCTGAGGCTGGACGGTGACTGTCCTCAGTGTCTGCAGGGCCCCTGGAGTGGTCATGGCTGTCCCGAGGGAGATGTGGACACTGGACATACAGCAGCCCATTCACAGAAAGCCACATTCTAAATTTGGGGAATCCTTCAATCAGTCAAACAAATGAAACCTCCTGAACAGAATTCTCAGTACACAGACCACAAGTTGGTTCTGCTTCAAAGTTTCTTTAGTTTAGCAATTATCTTTTTCTAGAAGAGGATTTCCTGAAAGTTTTGAAAGATGACCATGCAGAACTGGGACCACGTAAGAGGACAGGCACTTTCTCTCTCACACGCACATGCCCATGAAAGAAAGGAAGGAAAAGGAATCTGGGAGAACTTTAGATGTTGGGACCTGGGTTTGCCCAGATATTCTCAGAAAGAAGCTGGACATCTGGAAGAATATCAGTTCAGGATTTTTTTTTTTTTTCCCTGAGGCCAGGACTGATTTTTAAAGGCAGATTTCACAATGAGATTGGAAAATATACCAAACAATGACAGATAATACTCTTGGTCACAATGACCTCTTTACAGAGGTTGATGGTATATACGTGGATCGATGTTTACCCCAATGGTAGGCCACCTGGGGTAGCATTTATGGGGCAGCTCCTGTGTGCTGGGCACTGTCCTTGGGGCTGGGGCCACAGCAGGGACAGAAGAAGCCAAATTCTTGTCCTCAGATGCCTCTGTCTACTGCGGCATGTCCCAGGTACATACCGTGAGCCACATATGGGATTTAAAAAAAATCATTGGAGCATAGTTGATTTACGGTGTTGTGTTAGTTTCAGGTGTACAAGACAGTGAGTCAGTTATACATATATCTGCTTTTCTTTCTTTCTTTTTCTTTTTTTGAGATTCTTTCCCCAACACATGGGGATTTTAAGGTTTCTAGTAATCATAGTGAAAAAGAAACAGAAAGGAGAATTTAGAGTACATTTCACTTCATCCAATGCATCATTATTATTGTTTCAATACGTATGAACAGAAGCAGTGTTGGTGGGAAACTTGCACTCTTCTTTTGTTATAAAGCTGGGAAACCCAGCAGGTGTTTTGCACACAGAACACATCTCAGTTTGGGTGAGCTGCATTTCAAGCCCTCGGTAACCACCGTGAGCCCTGGGAGTCTCGAAGGTTGGGTGTCTGAAACTCTCTCAACTTGTGCAGAAACTCTGGGAAGCAGAAACCACTGGGCTGTTTTTTCCAGATGGAATGACTTTTGCTGGACCAAGCTGGGCTGCTTTCCCCCGGCGTCCCCCTCCTTCCCGGCTCCCGTTTCCCAGCACTCTCAGATCTGTGCTCTCATTAGCTCAGCTCACCTCCCAACAGTCCCATGAGGCAGAGATCACAGTTACCCTCATTTATCAATAAGGACAGGGAGGCTTAGCAGAGAGGTTAAACGACTTGTGCACGGTCACCCCACCAGTAAGCGGCAGGGCCCACACTTGAACTCAGACTGGTAACCAGCACCCATGACCCCTCACTGCAGACAGGTTGCTGACTGCAGAAGGGGCTGGGGTGAGCCTTTTACACCCCTAAGGTACACTTGTTTGTAAACTTTACAAATGTTAATTAGAAAAGAAATACTGACTTACTATTTAAATAATAGGGCTTCACTGGTAACTCAGACGGTAAAGAATGGCATTTGGGACCCCTCTGTACTGCTCACCAGCTGGGTGTCCTCGGGCTGGCAGTCTCCCCCGCCTCTGTCAGTGTGGCCTTACAATGTAGGGGACTCAAGTTTGATCCCTGGGTTGGGAAGATCCCCTGAAGCGAATGGCAACCCACTGCAGCATTCCTGCCTGAGAGTCCCATATACAGAGGAGCCTGC